TTATTATTATTATTATTATTATTATTATTATTTATATTGGTTAATTTCTCAGCTATTTTCGCTGGTAAAAATGCCCAGCCTCCCCTGAGTTGTTTAGGGGACAGAAAAATCCATCTTATATCTGGATCTAAGGTATAAATCTTCTTACGATATGGGCTGTTTGTAACAGAACTGGGCGCTGTCACGTGTTGATAACGTTTTAAGGTAGTTAAGTTCTGTTACATTTTTACTGACATGGCCTTCCGCCGATATCACGAGTGGGTATGTTTTGGTAACATTTCATTTCAAAAATGTCCTAGTTAATAAGATAATATTATTGTTATTACTAGTCAACTAACATACCATGAAGAACAAGGGCCTCCTGTCTCTTTGCAGGGAATACTGAATGAATGAATTATGATGTGATAGGATGATGGTGGCAGGTGGGGTGGTAGGATGTGATCGTGGCCTTTTTGAACCATCCCAGCATTCGCCTTATGACCAAGATAAACCACCAAAATCCCCGATCGGAATGGCCGTCCCAGGGACCGTTCCCAATCCTCCAGATTGCAAAGTCAGCTCGCTGCGCACTGAGCCACTTCGTTCAGTAACGGTATTAGTAGTGCGCAATAAATTACTCGTCACATGAAATAATAACACGACCCAAAAAACGGCGATATGGAATTAGCCAAATTATTTAATCAAATTCGGTTTTCCGTAAAAAGCTTCGACCTAGGTAATAGATTAGTCTGGCGGAAAGTTATCTTTACTGTTCATTGTTCATGGAGTGTTTCCCTGCGCTACGCATTGAACAGAACGTATCGTCGAACAGGTCTGCGATAACAGTTGTCAACAAAATCTGTCAGACAGCTCCAACCATGTCTCTGTGGCACGGGTTGGAAGACAACGAACAGGCACTATGTAAAGCAAACTTATTCCGGCGATAATAGGTTAGTCAACCGGTAGGGTACGGTACGGACGTACGGTAAATAAAGTGATGAATTATCACTTTCACAAATTCCATCCTCTTTCCGTTGCTCAGTGACGCAAATAGTGCTGGGGATGAAAAAAATTCTCAAAAAATTTTTAAAAAAAAACGAACAAGGGGATTTAAAGTTTTGGACATTTACTGATGAGTCATAATGTTTAAAAATTACAAACCTTTGCGTACGTACGTCACTACTTTTGCAGTTTCAAATGCTCTTTAGAAGGATTGTGGGTTTGAATCCTGATTAAATTATAATGGCTTTCACCTTGTTATTTTCGCGCGGAAGATAAACAATAACCATCATATATGCCTATAATAATATAAAATAATTCTTCAGGAAAGCCAACCATCTATATTCGGCCAGTAAATCTCGTCAGTGGTGTGGCACAAGGCGGAAGTCTTTTTGAAACAAAAAAAATATTTGGTAACCTGATAAAGAACAGGTTGCGGTCTGTTCATAGACTTGCGGAAAGTATTATACATGAATTTACCATTACGGCTTTTATTGTCTTCACGGCTGGCTATTCGTGGGCAATTGTATGATTGACTGAGGTGCATGCGAGCAAAGAAAGCCGAAACACACAAAGAATATCGATTTTTCTTACAAACAAAGGATATCTTAATGACATTCGTAGGCTATATTATTGATTATGACCTAATGGTGGATGAAGTACACAATGTAGGATAGAACATAGCGTCGACAGTGTGAGTGATGATCCAATCGCACTGTGACAATGTCGGTTGACTTTTACTGTTCATTTCACGCTATTTTATTGGGGTACTTCACTTCACATGCTCTCCACTGAGATCTTGAGGGTTCGGTTGATACGATGCGATTTACTGTATTCATCACAGAAGTTTACCGATTTTGATATATTTGGTCACTTGAAGCGATAATCAAAACTTGTCTCTCCTTTTATCCACAATGTAATATTCATGTATATTTATTGGTTTAAACGTCTCACTTTTACATATGAGAATGTGCACTGTCAATGGGTATTTGTTTGGTGAAAAAGAGATGCCTCATCCGTTCACGAGAAAAATCTGAAATGAAATGTTCACACACAATAAACACGTGGACAATTTTTCCTCGTGGTGGCTAGAGGTGGGGTCGAGTGGTATTTAGTATTATGCAGAATACATTGTGAATTCTTCCTTTCTAGAGCCCTCCGATTCTCTTCTTACGAAATTTCTTTTCCAGACATCTAACATGAGTCTCAAAAACAAGTGAAACAAAGTTATCTGGATCTTTAGAAATAAAACTAAAAAGAAATCAAGTATAAAACATATGTAATGTTTATTGTTAATTGTTTGGCGATGCAACAGTTTTCAGCTACTTCATTAGATGTTGAAGCCTCGTGCACTCCTTCCGCTGCGTCCTTTCTCGCCCCCCCCCCCTCCACGCACCAAATCCTCCCCCCTCCCGAGTCCAGACATCCAGAAGAATTCTACAGGTTATACGAATACGTTCTCGCCTGCGCATTGTATATTTCCGTTTATTTGTTTTATTTATTTTATAAGAAAACATTAAAAACCGCGTGTGCCGTACTATGGGGAAAATTCTGTGCATTTTATCTTAAATTCTTGGATTCCTGCCCTAACTCTATACAAATTGAATTCTGTATATAGATGGAAATAAGCATTTTTGGCAAGAATTGTTGAGAAAAATTCGCTTCAGTGTAATTTAAAATCATATGAAAGAGAAAGAAGCAATACATTTTTGCTTCTATCCCTTATGGTGCCTTTTGTGACGGAATGGACTTCCTGCCAGTTAAACGTGGAAAATGATAATTGTAATAACTATATTTCCCGCTGAACTCTATAAGACGTTCACAGATAATAATGTTAAATTTATTACGAGAAGCAAAAAATTGTGCATTTGCTCGAAGGATGAGAGAAACTGTACGAGAACCGTGACCGAGATGGGGGTCATTGACTGATTCAATCTCCGTCACAACTCGCACCACCCCACCCAGGAATTGCTTGCACCAACGTTCCCTGCCCTCACACATATTCTGTAAACATTCACCTCGAAGTCTATACCTTCTCCTGCTCATTCTGTACTAAACCATCACTGAGCAAAGCCAGGATCCCGTTCCTTCTCGCCTTTCCCTCTCACCTACCTCGTCTGCTCTTGCCTATCTGTTCATCTCTCTTTGTTAGATCGTTTCCCAACCAACACATTTCAACTGGCCTCGCTAATGGAACAGAACGTCCCGTCCGCCACTGCACTCCCCCTGTTTCTGTGCCGGCACCGCCCACCCCACCCCAGCACACCACACGGCCACCGCACTGTCGCATCCCGGGCCCCTCATCCAATCGCCCTTTCCCACGCCCGCCCCCGCTCCGCTCGCACTCCGCACCCTCCCATATTTCACCAGCTTCCTCTGTCAATATATAACGGGACACGCAGGAATCGGTGGCTGATTAATTGATTGATGATCCGCTCGCCGATGATGGATGGATGAAGCGCCGCCGGATTAATCAGAGTACGAACGCCGCCGGCCGCCATGTTCACTCTCCTCAGGATTGCCTCGCGGCGGCTTGTGAAAGGCTGTGGCGTCACCAATTATTTCGCCGCCTATGAAGTCAGCACGCGCGCACTCCAGACGCCCTCGAGCCCGCTCCGCCCGTTCCGCCACCCACGCCCCCGCCATGCCACGTCCCCCGCCACGCCACGCCCCGCCACCACCACACCCCCGCCACGCCACGCCCGCCGCCACGCACGCGCCCACGCCCCCCGCCACGCCACGCCCCCCGCCACGCCACGCCCCCGCCACGCAGCCCCCGCCATGCCCCACGCCACGCACGCCCCACGCCACGCCCCCTCGCCACGCCAACGCCACGCCCACCCGCCACGCCACGCTCCCCGCCACCACGCCCCCCACGCACGCCCGCCCGCACACGCCACGCCCACACCAACGGCACGCCATCCCTACACCATGCCCCCATAACAATACGCCCCCCCACGCCACGCCCCGCCACACGACACCCTCTCGCCACGCCACTCCCCACCAAGCCCCGCCACGCCACACCACGCCCCATCCCTCGGCACGCTGCGCGCTGGGCCAAATAAATCCAAAGTTACTAACAACTCGAAAAAATTCTAAATCCGAGACTTTTCGGCAATGAAGTGAGATAATTTTCATTTCTTTCGTCTTTTATTGCATATAGATGAAACATGTTTTTGATGTTGCGTACTTGTATGTTTTCAAAGAATAAATATTGTACTCCAGAGTTGGTATGTTTGAATATTATAAACATATTACTAACTCGATTTTCGTTTTTTGATTTGAAGTAAAATAACATCTGTAAATGTCAACAATTAATGCAGTCGAATTTAACATTCTGCCACTAATTTAGCATGCAATTTTCTGTCAATTTACTTAAAGTGAATTAATACGCAAATCAATAATGGACAAACATATTAGTATAAATTATTCATTAAACTTGCAAACCCATTTCGCAACCCATGCCTACAATTTTGTATAATACTGAATAGAATGTGTTACAAAATCGGAAGGGGGCAATTTTTTAAATTTCAAGTACAGTCCTTTTGCACTTCCTTCCTTTTGCACTTCCTTCCTTCTTCCATAGTGTGAAGAAAATGACAAATCCATCCTTAAATTGTTGCTGCAAGGAATATAATTAGGAGGACTAAAATGTCTCCCTCATTTTCAGTATCTTCGTGCTGTAATTGGAAAATATTTCTTTGAGTGCCAGTCGGATATGTTGCCTGAATTACAGATGTAGAAAGAAAACAAAACATTAGAAAAAATTATAATATATTGATTTTATTTATTGCTAATACGTTCTAATATATTCATTTTGGCCGCTTTAGTTAAGTTATTTTAATGATTTGGCATCTTTTTTGTTGTTGTTGTTGTTGAATGCTCAGTTGGGAAATCGCGCGTTTTGGTAGCCCTGCGCCGCAGCGCTCGTGTCCCTGCATGTTGACGCTCGTTCGAGAGAGGAGCTTGCGCAAACCTGGGCGTTCGGGAGCGGCTTGCAAGAGCTGCAGTGGAAGCGCTGTGTGTGCACTCGTTGCCACGTGCCTGACCCCCAACGCGCTCCCGCGAAACTGCGATCAGTCATGCGTTACTCCGCATGTTTCCAGCGTGAGCAGTAGACATGCAAAATGCGTTTGTGAACAATGAAAAGCTAGTTCCGCCCGCGAGAACAAATGGAACGTAATGTTAATAATGATATTAGATATTCATTTTTTATGTAAATCACTTTTCGCATGAATTCTCCTTTTGCAAAAAAAAATATAAATGTGTAATTGCATAACACTGAATGTAAATGTGTAATTTTGTACGTAAAAAAATTGCAGAGTTTAATTGTGATTTTACTTCCAACCTCTTTGGAATATAAATGTATTTCTTTATAACATGAGTTATATTTTTTGTTAGTGAAACGAAATAATCAAAATAAAACTATATCAAAAATCAAAGATTAGATGTTGAAGAGTACAGAGAATATGCTGTCAAAACTAAGTGAAGTGTTACAGCCAAAATTATACAGGAAAAAACGTTAATGAGTATAAACGTATTTTCAGTCCATTTGAAATTGACGAATTCCGCTGGTATTCCATCTTATCCGCGTCTTCCATTTCAAATACTTCCAAGGAATCCTAGAACATGAAAAATCCAACTTCCTACAACTTTAATAATTGTCATTTTAATAAATGTTCTTGTAAGTAGTTTTGTTATAATTGTGGAATGAAATTTTTATCATAAAATTGAAACTATCCAAATTGTTTTCTGCATCCAACTGTTGTAAACTTATGTATTTTCTTTGTAAATGTGTTAGCCCATTAGGCAGTGGTAACTCGGAGCAGTTTTGAGTAATATATCTCTTTTTCGTAATTCCTATGAATTTAATTATCCATTCTATTCGTGTTATTTCGTCGTCTAGTCACACTAAATATCACTCGAAGTGCTCTGATATTACTCTTGACGGTTAGTGGCGGGGTGGAGTTGGAGTCGCAGCGAGGGTGGTGCGCGTGGTGACAGACGGAGGCGGGAGCGCCTAACAGTACAGAGAGATTTCTATTAGAAGGACGTGTTACGACAGTTACTGCTTGGGCACTGTCGGCAACGTAACTGCAGGTTATGTCCATGCACTTGTTCTGTCAGTGCGTTCGTTTACAGTTAGATCATTTGGAAATGTCTTCAACACTCTCTCTTGCGTTGTTATCCCCCTGCATGACGTTCATTTGTTTCCCGACCTGTTAAACTGGCCCCTCTTTGGAGTAACTTCTCTGTATAGATTCGGGTGGGTGTAGGCAGCGGCATCAGACTGAACAACGCGGCAAGGCGACCCGCTCCACGCCAAATATTCCAAGTACATCGTAGAGAATATGGACGATACATGCTGCTGATTGTATTCCAAAATACTACAGGTGTAGGATGAATTTTATATTTCAAAGAGTTGTTTTTAATGAAAATTGTATTAGTAAGCGCGCTTTCCTCTGTTTGACTACAGACAGGCTTACAAGCACGGAAACGAACTGACTGTCAGACAGACCAAAAACCAATGTTAACCAAAACGTGCATATACGCCAATCTCGACTCTGGAAGCATTACAATTATATCTCTACACACGCATACGAGGAAATGGAATTGGCCGAATATCTACTTCTAGCTGCCCAAGAATATGCACGAATAACAGCGGCCTGTCGAACAGAAAATGGTAAGTGCACACAAAGAGACGAAACATTTAATCAATGCCATTAGCAAGATTGCGCAGGGCTGAAAGTGCTGCACTCGAATCTATGAAGAGAGTATTGTTTTGTTTTGTTTTCAGGTTATTAATCAACGGTGGAACTAAAAGTCTAATTGGTGATCGAAAACTCCAATATTAATATTCACTGGGATTCCAAGATTCAAATAGACCCTTATTTGTATCGTAGCTCTCACCGTCATAGCTCATAGATGTCACCGTTGTTGAAGACAAATTGACGATTGACATGGATAGTTGACATAGGCATTCCTGCATATTCAAGAGTGAACCATGACATCGGGAAAATAACGAAATAGCGTGATCTCCAGGAAGAAGTAAAAGACTGGGGACGGCACCAGACGTAATTGGGGCTCTCATTCACTCACCCAGGAGTCACATTCACAGACTTGGTGAAGCCCCATGGACTTTTCAACGTGAGACTTGCGTACCACATACAGAGAACGCGCTACTGAGTCCCTCTTGCATCTTGCTCACATCTCTGGGATTCCTAGGTTCTTCGATAGGACCTCAATCCTGAGGAGTTTCAAGTAGATAAAATAATTGCAATAAAGTAGTTATTATTATTATTATTATTATTATTATTATTATTATTTAAATGGGCTTAGCATAGTCTGGTTTTCAGCCATCGATGTATTGACGCTTAGCAAAATCTACTCTTATTCGCACTGGATTCTATGTTACTGCACATGTGCCACGTACACAGCATTTTGCGAATGGTCTGCCTGCCTGTTTACATCTAAAAAAACAACCGTACGGAGGATATTTTTCAGAAGTTGATATTCTGGGATGGGTCTGGCTCAATTTAAAACCGTGCAAATTTGAAAGGTAATTTTTTTTTAAAATGAAGCTCATACTATATTTTTATTTTTTTAATCAAACATGCTTTCTAATTTTGTCGTTCAATTGTTTTGCCTTTCAAAGTTTTATTTTTTAGAGCCTGTTCCCCACTTTCGTATGACAGCAGAATTGTTTTCTTAATAATTTTATCAATATTGGCTTCCTTGAAATTATTTCATGTACAGTATTTTTCAAACTATTGGTAGTTTTTTCGTAATTTGTATTTGAATCTTGCCAATTTTCAAAAATAACTAATACCAGACTTTCCCCAAAAAAACATTGTTTCACTTTCTCTGAGTCTTGAGTAAATGTTTTGAATCATATGCATTAAGTGCTATTTTCAGTAAACCATTTAAATTCTTAATAAATAGTCCGAAATGTATGCAATCTTACTTCTCCGGAGCAAAGAGAGACTTAACAACTAATTTTTCATCGTTAAGCCATTGCCGAATCTAAATGGTAAATGTAAATTTGAAATTTGTATTTATTTTAGTACTGGATTTTTTATAAATATTTTGAAGTATTTCATGTTTTGAAAAAAGATGTATTCAAAAATATATTTGAGCTATTATGAATTACCATAGACGCTAATATACCCTGAGACAATTTGCATTAAGAGAGTCATTAGGGAGACAAACGTCTTCAACAAAAATGCAAGTATGAAGAATATACGCGACTACAGTAGTCTTCATTGCAGAAACATTCCGGACATAAGGACGCCGACGCAGGTACAGAAGGAATCAGTAAGTTTGCGAAGAAGCTTAAAGATAAGCATCTCGATCAGTAATATAGAAGTAATTGCTCAACAACAGTGAACTAGAGCATAAACTCAAAAGAAGTAAATCGTTTGAGTTAGGAAAAGTTGAATTTTAAAAAAGTGTGCCACAATTGAGAAGTAGTGGCTTTTCACTAGAAACAGAAACTTAGTAGTTAATGACTGATGAATTTTTTTTTATTTTATTAATGGAGAAAGAAATGGAATTGCCTCCAAGTGTTATTGACTAATAGCGCGCATGTGCTTAACGTCAATGAATTCTAAAAATATTTATAACTTCCTTAGCTTTAGAAACAAACACGAACGCACTAGCTATACTCTTTTATGACTGTGGGATGTATTCGAGTGTGTCCTGCATATCTTTTTTCCTTGATCACGATAAGTGAAGCCATAAAGTCCCTGACGACTGTCCCGTTGATTCACAGTCAGCTTTATATATATATATATACGAAATATGTTATCAGTACTTATATGACCCACCTCTCCTGTATTTTCCTCCCCTAGGAAGAATTATATTGACTTCTTATAAATACAAGTAAATTAAACTCGCGTTCCTTTTCGAACAAGATGAAAAAGCATCTGCGTGGCCTTCTCTACGTACCGGGTGCGACGAGCGTGAGGTGGTAGGGCGGCGCGCCCTTGAGGCAGCGCGTGGACAGCAGCGCCCAGGAGGGCGACAGCAGCACGGCCGCGCAGCCCTCGCCCGCCCCCGCCGCCGCGCTCTCGCTCGCCGTCGCCCACACCAGCGGCCCGCCCCGCCTCGCCGTCGCCATCGGCGCCGCCGTCGGCGCCTCCGCCGCGACCGCCGCGCCCCACGCGGCCGTCGCGACAGTCACCGCCCACACCAGTTGCAACTGCGCCTGCGCACCAGCAGAGTCTAGCAGCGGGTGGGCACGGAGGGTTCTCACAACACATGTCAAACAAAACTTCACTCAAAAATCAACAGCGGTTCATTCCATGCAGAAATAATATTATTTTTTCTACTCTTGTTGAATTTTGTCATCTCATGGCTTTGTTGCATAGTTATACTTATTATAATACAGATTTCATTATGATACAGGTTCTTCACCAATCACAGAAAAGTTAACAAATCAAGAATTGGCTTTTTAGAATCGTTCTAGTAAATGTTTTGTTCGTTTGGTACATTAAAATTGCACTTAATATTATATTATGCTTATCAGTTTTAATTTTTTTATTAGTAGTATCTTTTTTCATGGAATATTATTGAAAATAAATTGGATCTTAATTTCAGTTTTATCCTATTTGACTAGCACAGTACTCCCTCGCAGGCAGACTGGTAACCTAAGCCACCTGCTGCAGCATAGGTTAGGGTAGGGTTAGGGATCTGTACGCTAGGTAGCCTTGGCTGAATCCTGCATGTCAACTGCCATGAAATGATTCAATGTAAATGTTCATCATCGGTCGTAGAAAAAAGCATTGTATGAAATTTTTATTTAATGGGTATTAATCACACTCGTGTGAAGTATCACACTCGCAAACCCAACATTACATCATCATTTCATAATATACTATTACTATTGTGTAGTTTCGAATCGAAAATTCACTAGTCCGTTATTCCTCATAATAGTCAATAATTCGTTCTTCTTATTGAAGTGATTCATTTGTGACTGTTGCACAGAGGCGGTATTTCCGTGATTCATCCTTTTGAGTGTAAAAGAAGTATTTACGTTCGTGTCACGTTCCACGTTTGATGGGCTCAATTCAAACTCTTCAGAAGCGTCATTAATATGACTCAGAACATTCACAACGACTCTTGTACGTGTCATTCTGTTTGCAACATGGGGGACTTGCATGACTCATGAGACATATTGTTTATCCTATATTATGACATGTGTAACGCCTTGAGACTAGGGATATGCGGCGAGAATATTTTTTGTTTTATATAGTTAAGTAAGTTCCATTGTGTAATATGTTCGTGTTCCTTCAACTATTCTGCTTGAATCCTGTTCTCTGTAAATAGAAATTTTATTGCGAGGGCGGGCGTCGAATATACATTATTAATTATTAAAACATCAAAGGCTACAAAAATAAACACCGTTCTTGCCAAATCCTGAACCACAAGATTAGACGTGTGTTTCTTTTATCCTAAAGAAATGAAAAAAACTATTTGAAGCAAGAGTTTCCAACGGGATCGATGTTATTTTAAAGAGAATCAATGATGATTAACGGTTCATTTCGGGGTCTACAGCCAAAGTGCACCGGTGACTGATCGTTATAATCAAGTAGCCACTGATTTAAAAAAAATATTCATGAACTTGATAATTATTTATTTTCTCATATTTAACATCTCTTTCTCTTATGTATTTATAATTAAGAACAAATTTGTTCTTCTTTTGAAATTTAATGCCGTTCACATTAAGGAAATTATGTGTCGTTGTTTGTGCTAATCATATGTATTTTGCTGTTCATTGTCGAGAAAACATAAAGGGATCGATGAAAGAAATAGGTTATGAATCTCTGATTTAAAGAAACTATTCCACAAATAATAAACCAGAATGTAATATGAATACCAAGTTCCAGTGTTATGCAAGTTGAAAATAATGTGATTTATCAGAGCATGGAGTCAATTCATGAAACAATATTTCTGAATGATGCAATGAAATCTCGGTTTGAAACGTGATTAGTCGCAATTGTGGAAATAAGTACATTAAAAGTTCCTATTTCTTTGCAATACCTATTTCTCTTCTACATATGTTAGAGGAATAATATTTATCTTTCAATTTCATCTTGTTGCATCCATTCTCACATATCAAAATTTGTTATAGGTAACATCGACCGAAGAGAAAATAATTATTGAATATTTAATTGACTAAAGTGTGTGGCTTCGAGAAGTAAATACTTTGACTCCAGACAAACATTCTTACTCGGCAATTACGTAATAGAGGAACAAAACTAACTAAATGACAGACAAATCTGCATTAATGAGAAATATAGTCATTATTAAATCCCAGTACGTCAGTCTTCTTTTTTCTATTTTAATTTAATCTATTAATGTCTATCGTCCTCTTTTGAGGAAGCCCTTTCTGGTGAACTTACATTTGTTTCCTTTGCACAAATTTATGACGTAGTCAGGGACACGCTAAAGGAAACATACTAGGAAGTTTTCAAGGCTACCCATATTGTAGTGGTCAGACCGCCCGCTTTCTACTGCGGGTGTCCGGTTTCGATCCCAGGGAGTTCCAAATGGAATACTCACCTTTCAACTATTTATAGTTAAAATGACGGGAAGGGATTCTGGAACTCTAGAAAACGTGCGCAGAAAATATTTTCCCCCCTACGTCACACACAGTTTTTACTGTATTTTTTTTTTACTAAATAATTGTAAATAAATCTAAATCTAAATTTGTGGTGAAAAAGCGGGATTGGGGCAGGTTTTCTCGGGGTACTCCCAGAGCCAAACGCCTTTAGCTGATATGCTCCATTAACCATTCTCTATCGTAACCTATCACACGTATCGTTAACCATCAGTTCCGCTAAGGACACAAGGATCACAGCGGCGCCTAGGGGGTAACCGAGGAACTAGCTGAGAAGTGCCGTGTCTGTCACTGTGGGTTATCGATTGATAAGGTCCCGGCGTGTTGCACCAGAAAGAGAGGGGTGAAGCGGTGGGGGAGTGGGGGGCGCCCCTCCCCCCAAGGCCAAAGCTACGGTTGACGGAGAGTGGATGAAATGCCAGGCGGAGCGAATGGTACAGCGTTGTTGAAGCTGTCCCCCGATGAGAAAAACAAAGTGGATTACATTAGCAAGATTTGAATTCCTGAATGCTAGACGTTGTTTTCGGTGAGATTGCCAAATTCTCGCTCCTAAACAGGGCGTACTGACGGCTTGCGACTCTTTGAGAGTCCTTCTAAAACCGCGCTTAGCTGCTGTATGCCTGAGGATATGTCGGAGAGAGAATCCGGCATACACTTGGGCGATCATAAGCAGCTGAAGTATTATTGTACAACGGTTTTACTACTTCTATAGAAAAACTTGCTGATACTATAAACAACGAGAGCTCTTCTACTATAATTTAGCCAAAAGCGACAGTCGGTAATAGTTGCTAACTGGATACAACTGTAGCTCCAAAAGTAGCCTCTCGCGCACAAGTACGATGTTAATGGACACCCGCTGTACGCACAACCTTAATTAAGGAGAGGTTGTACTTATTGTGTTGCGAAATCACCTGTCGAGATTCTCCCTTACAAATAAATGTGTCAAAGTAGTAAATATGGAATTATTTTTTGAATAAGAAGCTTATCTCGCTGTCTCTAATATTGATTTATGACTGTATTTATTATTGAAATATAGGAACAAATTAGGCAATTATTTCTTTTTAAAATGTATACAACGTTTCGAATATGTTCCCTATAGGTTCGGATTTTTCTTCCGGTATAGTTTCTATTAATACACAGGAACAATCATTAAACTCAGACTATTATTTAAAAAACGTATTACAAACAAAACTGTTATTGTGACAGCTTACTATTAGTTCCGGTTTTCCACCATCTTTTGTCAATAATTATCTAATGAATATGTTCGCCCAATACTTTCCACGACGTCCATTAATCTAATTGGGGGCTGACACAATGGATGTCTGGTTGTAAGAAAAATTCGTATCAAGTGTTTCTGAGTTACGGTGTAACCTACGTATCAATATTTGTCAATCTACTGATGTTTTCTTAAGTTAATTGGGATTATCTAAAAGTTTGTTTGCGTCAACTGAACACTGAATCACGACTCGGTCAATTAAACAATATTTTGTAAATACGTTGTTATCATTTGCTGGTGTCCAATTGAACATTCAGAGTATTGACCGTTTGTCTATATGTAGCATCTCTGATATTAGACGCTTCCTGTAGTTACAAGCCAGAAGTGCTCTTAGCTGATTAGTGAATCATGAGTGTCGCCTACAAAGCGAAACTAGTGAGGTTCCAACAGCATGTGTTTTCGCATATTATTTATAGCGCTACGTAGTATAATAATATTTAAATTTCAATCCATTTAATTCGTCTTGGAAAACTCTCTCTAGAAAAAAAAGCGTAGGAGATTGCATTTTGCAAGTTTCGAAAATTCACGATTTTCAATAAATGATAAATGGACTTCAAATGCACATTGTTCTATTAGAGTAATTTAAAAAAAAATATTTTCTTCCCTGGAACTCCTAAAATTGAACCTTCCAAACTTGAAGCCATAGCAAAGGCAGCTCAAATACCAACACATCTCAAATCTCTGTCAATAAATACTCTGATTATATTTTTTTTTAGATGAACTGTGAAGAAAGACAAACTTTTACTCGAAAATGAAGATAGAGCAATTATGATGAGAGATGAATGATGAGGATGTGAAATGATAGAATGAGTCAGAGAATCGGAAAAATCTGACGAAAGCTCGCTTCATCCACCACAAATTCAACACAAAGAGGCCGGGTGACTAGTCATTAGTAGCCCCCTCGTTTAGTTCAAATTCATGGAAATTTATCTGTATGCTTCTCGGGGATCATTCACAATAAACGTCACGGTAGCAATGTTGATACATCTGACACACATTTTGTTTATGATTAGCTGTTTTTATGGCGGTACACTATCGACAAAGTACTATTTGCCGATAGGGTACTGCAAAATACATCTTTCCATTCAATATAGAGCAAAGGCAAGTAGTGATTTCCATGCATCAGAGCCGAAAAACATCTTTCAGGTAAATGCTACAAGTTATACATCACCACAAGTCTACCTATGAATCTTCATAGGTAGACTTCTGGTGATGTATAACTTGTGATTGTGTTTGTTTACCTTTAATAATTAGATAAAAGTCCAATGGGATATCCCCATGACATCACAAGAAGACGAGAGGTCGAAATACATGTTTGGAAGGAGCTACATTGCACTTGAAAGACGAAATACATTTTTCTTATTACGAGACACAAAAGTTCATTTGTGGTTTAGTGCCTTAAGTTAATTATATTACCACACAAGCAAATCCAACTACCTTTTTGAGTCCCCGTCGCCATAGTGTTGGTGAACGAGGTCGCTGTGGCTTACCTTCATGCTGGGATGGCGTTGTGGGCTGGAGAGAGGTGTAGCTCGGTGCCGCTGTGTTGGCTCTCCCGCGGCGCCCCACCGTCACTGTGCGCAACGCGGCCGGCGCAGAATGCAGCTGATAAATGCGGCGGCCGTCGCGAGCCATAACGTTCCCCGCCCCCGCCCCCGCCCCGCCCGCGCGTGGACGGCCCTCGCTGCCGCACAGTGCGAAACGTGTCCTTTCTAGAAGGATGATCCAAGTAGTGCGTAATAGCTCGGCTGTACAGGGAGGGTATCAACTGATGTCGCTGCAGTGCCTCTGCCCGGGAGGTCCTAGGTTCGATTCTCAACAGCGGCAAGATTTTCTACACTATCTTGGCAGCTAGGTCGAATTCAGTCGCTGTCTAAAGAAGAATTCTTCAAGCCGGCTGTTTTGATTTGTAGTTTTCTTTGATTTCTCCAATCAACACCAGGTGAATGCCAGAACAGCACGCTAACAATCGGGCTGCGAACCGCGATCTTTCTTTCCCCTTCCTTTTCCCATCCTCACCCCTTACTTCAACACATTTTCACTTACATGTATTACACGAACACACAATGTTGGGAGGCCAGGACTTGTTTCGGCTGGTGGGAGAGACCTGGTTGGGAAAAACCTGCTAGCCGACGGTAAATCGGCGCCGGGTCATCCAGTGGGGAAGATCACAGTCACTTCCCGCAATAAAAACACTCATTACACTTACGGAACTAACGACGTTAGCAGTTGACGAGCCAAAATAAGTAATCAAAAAATCAAAATAAACAGCTCTACACGGAACAAAGGTTTGTTCGTTCAAATCGCGTGTAAAAACTCAAATATCGACATACGGTCCCCCTGTTCATGAATACATGGTTCTGCCTTCATCTGGGTCTGATTTTTATAGGAAAAAAATTAATTTCGATAGGATAAAATAAAACTGATAGAAAGCAACTCCTTTGTTGTTTAAAGAACTCACCAGCAAAGTCGTTTGTCGGTATGTTTAAAACCTACTTGCCTAATCTCTCCCTTATATGTTATTTCTTGTCATTGGAAGCTGATCTGAAACCCATCACACGAAGCCAATACGATGAAATCCATGGATCCGATGATATCCATACTGCATTTTACTACTTGTAAATTTCGATATAATATCCTGTTAAAAAGAATCAGAAAATAAAAGAAGAAAATTAAAATCACGTAATCGTGCGGCTGTGACACTAATTTTCAAAACGATGATCATGATTCCTCTCACAATTCTCAAACAAACGAATGTAGTCATGGCCATCTTCTTACCGCCGCTATTCATAAACTGTTTTCGATCTTCTAGATTTGGTTAATTTCGCACTGTACGCAGTCGGCACGTGACTCTTGGCTTCTGCGGCGGCGGCGGCAGCCTCTGCTTGTGCGGAGGGCTCCGCGCGCACCGTCGGATAATGGTACGAACGATACGAAGTTCGACACCGCGACTCACGGCCGCCCACGTTTTGCGTGCTGCGTGTTTTCAATCGATTTTCTTGGACGTCTGCCTGGAATAGATGCCCCGAGAGTAAAATTTTAATGGAAAAGATAAGACCAAAGTTAACTCTGATATTTGACTGCGTTTGCAGTTGGTAAAAACACGCCGTACAATCCTTTCGTTACATCCATACTGCTTGCATTCGTTCCATTATTGAACCGGGAAGTACATGGATGACATCACGGCGGAGATCTCGCCGCCAAAGCATCACGCCAGATTTATTAAGGCCGCCCACTGGCACTTGGTTTAGCGCTTTAAACTGCTAACTCTTCGGATTTGTGTAGAGGCCAACTGACTGTAAAATGTCACTATGACTGTGAAGATTGCCTAGAAGGTGATCTTGAAAACCCGTTAGTTTATCAAATTCAAGTCATTGTTCCTCGCGTAATGCTGCATTGTTTGTAAATACTTCTCTGAACAAATGAAACTAATAATAGTACTACTATGACTGTTTTAGATTGGGATAATAATCAGAAAGAAATTAATTTCACCCGACTGATAAGCCTGACTTGTCCTTAAGGTCAATGAGTGGAGCATAAAGTATATATTATTATTACTTGCTGTTGATGGTAGGATCTCTTAGAGAAACCCCTTGCGAAATTGTGGCTCTGATTGCTGTCCGCGCCTGGGCTCTAATGTGAGAAAGCTAGCTTAGTGCAGCGGCCGGAAGAATAAATGCGCGCCTTCCGCTACGGCCGCGGGGCCTGAGGATCGTACTGACTCTGCACCTCGGCGCGTGAGTCACGGGTTCGAACCCCGCCCTGATCTCTCGTGTGCTTTGTGTCCATGGTCGTCTCACCTCATGGAATGGCTCAAAGGCAACATTGCTATTGCCTCCGAAGCGTCGCTCATTGGGAAGTACAGAGGTTGGAGTCCCGTCGATGGTGGATTTTCCAAGTTATATAGTTAAATTGAATTCATTAAGAGTGTGAGTTCCAAAGAGTTCCATGTCGACTCCTTGGGGATCGATTCAATGTTAAAGGGGATCAATGAAGATTGAGAGGTCGACTGCGGTCAATAGCAGAATATGAAGTAGTTACTCGCCGGTACAATCATGATGTTGATCGGTTACAAACAAAAATATATTTGATAATTGTTTTCTGATATAAACTATAAAACAATCACCAATCATCAGTCATTATTTTCATTTTTATTGTTAACTCAATAACAAACAAAAAAATTGGCTATTGCATACGTAGTGTGTGCGCCGACCTTGATGGCCGAAATGGCAAGAGCGTACAGAGCGCCAATACAAGAGCGTATTCAGCGCCTCGTTTGGTAGGGCCCCAAGTTGGAGTCTCGCTGTTGACATGGTTTGTCCCTTGTGTTTCATGTGTGTGTGTGATCGTCGAAGGCTTTGTGAGTCTGCAGACCGAGGAGCCCGCAAGTGTATCTAGTTAACAAAAGGTGTGACGGCGTTTGCAGTTGGTAAAAACACGCCGTACAATGCGTCCCCACGAGGGACACATACGGTACCCGGCTTGGATAGCCGAAATCGGCAGCCCCTGAAAGCCGGAAAATGCCTTTGATTAAACGTACGTAATTGGAGCAAAACCATGAACGGCCTGTATGGCCGAATAAGATTTAAATTATTAATGTAATTACATATGCGCTTCCCTTCTTTTGTATTGATCGCCCTTCGTCTGGATGTTTGGAAAACTAAAGATCTATTCACAAAGACTTCTCTACCGTGCAAGAAAATATTATCCGTAACACACACTGCAGAAATGTAATGCAATTTCTTAAAAAACCCTCAATGCAGACTGAATTTTGTAATCATTGCACAACAAGGAGTATTACAAACCAACTACTCAAAGTGGTATCTCTCTTTATCTCACTCATCCTTGAACCATCGTCTTCCCATACACATACACACATACACACACACACACATACACACAAACACATACACATACACATACATGCACTATCGTACTGTGAATGTCGGGAGATCAGTTGGGATCTTACAGCTTGTTCCGGAGGGGGTGGGGCCCTACTAGTGCGATACCTAGAGGGAAAATCCCATACTCTAATGTGTAAGACGCTGGATCTCACATCCCAACGGGTGAGGAACACCGCCACCTCCCGGGATATAACATGCGCTACACTTACAGGACTAATCTATCTAGTAGTTGACGCGCCCGGAATCGAGATATTAACAACAGTATTGTTATCTGGAATTCTTTGTAAGTCGTTTTTGTGCTATTCTTTGTTTTGATTAGGCTGTAATTATAGAAAAAATCCAAGGGAGCTGATGAAGCAAACATTTCATTTGAATGGACCCATGCAATAAGAAAGTTGGGAATTTCTGGTTCTTCGCCTTTTACCAAGTGAAAGCAGGCTCAGTACCCTGAAACGGGCCGCGACACGCGCGAAATTTCCTTCCTCATCCTTATCCCCTTGCATACGCACCATCCTGCCGCACACGTCGGGGGGCTAGTCGAGGCCGTGCCCCACTGGTGGGGAAGGGAAACCCTGGGCGCGGAAGAGGTCCGCGACGGATCTCGCGTACCAACGAGGTAGGAACAGCGATACCTCCACACATATTGCTTGCACTACACTTACGGACCTGATGTTTATAGTAGTTGACGAACACAAATACAATGTACATAAACAACGCACCGTGGGAGTCGTGCACGATCTCATGCAATAGTTTCAAGTGCATTCAGAACTTTTATTCTTATTTCATTTTTTACTATTAACGTAAACGATGTATTAACTTAGAATAAATGTACCTATCAGTATTGGTTCGGGTGGTGCAGTACCTTTTTTCTTCTTTGCATCCCAATTCCCCGGAGATCCGTAGACGTCTTTTGCTGATTTTCGCTGCGATTTTACATTATTTGAAAAAAGTTATTATTACCAGAACAATTAGGTACTAAATTAATCTAATTGATTAGCACTAAAAATTAAAACATGTTTTGTTCATTGTCAGTTGTCATACACGACAATTAATCAAAACACTTCTGCTAAAAATCAAATAAGATTGTTAATCTCTTGTTCAGTAACACTGCAATTCGTGTCTGCGCAGCCTGAGCACGATGTCGCTTAGCTTCGCCGTCGTGTGCGGTCTTCGTACGCTCACGTGCGTCCATGGGGTTTAACAGAGTAATTTTCCCTCGCGCGCTCTTTGATGCGCTCAGCCCTTTTCGGCGGCGCGCCGTCCTCGGCCCTTCGCGGCCATTTTGCAGGCGACTGAGCTCGCCCAGCTAAGCGGCCGAGACAGGCGCCGGATTGGCGTGAAATGCCATGCAAATGGCTCCCGCCCGCCACCATCACCACCACCACCACCACCACCACCGCCACCTCCTCCTCCACCACCTCTCCCGCCACCGACGTCTCCACCGCCGCCGCCGCCGCCGCATGGCCCACCCAAGTGTTGAGGGAGACTTTGAAAAATAGCGCTCGTCCCTTAGATTGCCTCTCTCTGCGATGCGCCTGGTGAATTAAAATCATATTTAGCCCCTGCGAAACAAGGGAAGGAAGAATATTATATACGTGGCGTTTCTGGGAATATTGGCTTTCGAGCAACGCCATATGCTTACGAATGGAACCTGTAACACAGGCCCCTTCATTCTCCTGTATTCTCCATTTTAATACATGTTTTAATGAAACTTTTGAAGCGTTAAATGCA